AGGCCACCAACGCAAACTTGGTACCCTTCCAATGCACATATACTACTCAACAGACCCAAAAGAAAAGGGGGCATAGCTAAACATGTATGAACGTATAGGAAGATGTATGCCAGGTCTGGGCACAGGAGGGATCAGGATGGTGAGAGCAAGCCATTGGATGTCTCGGATGGAGAGAACAGAGAGGGATATACAGTGCGCAGAAGCTTTTTTCAAGTCCCCAAGTAATTTTAGAAGTCATTTTCGATATCTCATAATCTGCAACTTTCATTAAAATATTCCTTGGTGATCCTCCAATGAAGGGCTTTGTTCAGGCACTTCCTGGTATAGGGTGACAACACTCTGTCCTTGTTTACCAGTTGTGCTTCTGTGGTGTCACCCTGTCACCCGAGCTTCTGATAGAGACTACAAGTAGCTGTTTCAGCACACACATGGTCAACTGTTGTCACCATCAGGAAACCCGCCCTGGGAAATGCCACCCAACCAGCGCTGGACTGCATGGAGATAGGGAGTGGCTGCTAAGAGGCTGCAGGAGTTCAGCAGAACTGAGATGTAACAAAGAATAAAAAATGTGAAAACAAGGTTTTATACCAAAGAATTACAATTGTTTATGATGCCCGGAGGAACAGAGCAAAGTGAACGTTATTCCTATAGGGGTTTTATCTAGTTTTTATGCATTTCAGTGCAATGCATCTAAATGTTTTGATGGAACTCCACACATCTGGATCCGGCTCGTAACACACTCCCGGTAAAACGTGAACCTTCTCCTGAGAATTCTGCTTAAGATAAGATCTCTCACAACCCGCTCCATAAAATAACACTAATAGTCCCTCGCAGAACTCAGACTATTACTGCCAAACCTCTTGGCTGAAATCAAAGGAGGAGAGAGCACAGCGCCAAAAAATCTCTTAAGCGGCAAAGTCTGGCAATGTCTGGATGTGTTTGTATCCTGGATTGTGTCTGCTTCCCGCTCCGCAGATGTGCACAACAAGTTACAAATACTCCACAGCTGCAGAAGGCGTCTTCTAGGAGGAGGGGTCCTATATTAGGAGACCTTCACTATGAGGAAGGGGCCTTTATGAGAAGGGGACCTCTGTGAGAAGGCATCCTCTATGGGAAGGGGTCCTCTATGAGAATGGATCTTCTGTGAGAATGGATCTTCTACGAGGAAGGGTCCTCTATAGGAAAAGGCCCCCTGTGAGAAGGGGTCCTCTATGAGGAGCCCTCTATGAGAATGGATCTTCTGTGAGAATGGATCTTCTACGAGGAAGGGTCCTCTATGGGAAAAGGCCCCCTGTGAGAAGGTGTCCTCTATAAGAAAGGGACCTCTATGAGAAGGCATCCTTTATGGGAAGGGGTCCTCTATGAGAAAGGAACCTCTGTGAGAAGGGGTCATCTTTAAGGAGGGGTCCTATATGAGAAAGGGACCTCTGTGATGAGGGGTCCTATATGAGAAAGGGACCTCTATGAGAAGGCATCCTCTATGAAAAGAGATTCTCTATGAGGAGTCCTCTATGAGAATGGATCTTCTATGAGAAAGGGACCTCTATGAGAAGGAGTCCTCTATGAAAAGAGATTCTCTATGAGAACGGATCTTCTATGAGAAAGGGACCTCTTTGAGAAGGGGACCTCTATGAGAAGGAGTCCTCTATGAGAAAAGGACCTCTATGCGAAGGGATCTTCGGAGAAGGGATCCTCTATGAGGAAGAAAACTCTATGAGAAGGGAAACTCTCTGTGAGAAGGGGTTCTCTATAAAAAGATGACCACTATGAGATCGTGACCTAAGGCCCCGTTCCCACTGCGCGATATGCAAATCGCGCGACATCGCGAGATTTGCCGCGTGATGTCGCGTTCAAGCTTGCATTGAGCAAGCTTGAATCGCGGCTAAATCCGCTCCAAAAAGGGTCCTGCTGTAGCGACCCGCGACAGCAGGACCCTTTGCCCCATTGGATTGCATTGGAGCGCGATATCGCGCGGTAATTTGCCGCGATATCGCGGGAATTACCGCGCGATAAATCGCTCAATGTGAACGGGGTCTAAGAAGGCGTCCTCAATGATAAGAGGTCCTCCATAATAAGGGGACCTATATGAGAAGGGGACCTTTATGAGAAAGGCTCCTCTGTGAGTAGGTGTCCAGTATGAGAAGGCCTCCTTTTATAAGTAGGGGTCCTCTATGCAAAGTGGTCCTTAATGAGAAGGGTTCTCTATGACAAAGGGTCTTCTCTGAGAAGGTCCAATGAATGAAAGGACCAGGGGCAGTCAGGCTGGAAAAAGGAAATGTCTAGATGATGCTGGACGTCCTCCAGCCAGGAAATGAGGCTCTGTCTGGCATGCCGGAGCTTTTAATGCACATTGTGAGAGGCTCCCAGTGTGCAGTGAAATCAGAGGAAGCAATTTCAGTCCAGCAAAGGAGCCGGAGCAACTGTGCAAGCTTGAATGGAAGACAGGAGTTCATCTTTAAGTATGACCCAAGTGCCGATCCCACAGTGGCCCTCAGCGTGTTCAGTACCACATTCTTACTCGCCAACCAATTTCTCTACCGTCCCCCACCCTGTACAATGCACAGTCTGCGGCATACATAAGCACCTCCATGTTATCTCTGTAATAAGCAGCCACAAGGAGAACATCAGATCCATCCCTAATGTGCTTTCAAATCTGCTTTCTACAGTTGCTGCCTCCTGCGTGTCGCTCATTGTACTCGGCTTTTAAGTTAATCTATTGATGTTCATGTTACATGGAGTATAATAAAGAGATAAATAATGCAGAACGTTCAGCTCTTCACTCCTGCCAGAAGCGATGAAACGACATCAGATTATGTTAACTGGAGGGCTAACATTTACACATGGAAAACAAATTATGCAATATCCAGTGTGTCGTGTTCCCTGTCATAGCCATCCTCATGAATAAAGTAACAGTGTGTCCCCATAATCCCCCGTCCTGACGTTGTCACCATCTGCTCTCCATCTGCAGGATGACTTGAGAGATCCTCATACTGTATGGAAGTCGCTAAAATGACAAGACGGTTCCCCCTTCCCGACAGGGTTCACTTAGTAGATGAGGCTTTCATTTGCTTGTTTTTAGCGTGACCCCGAGACCCCCATACTGTGATAACACAGGGGGACATCTGTCCAAACGTTGGCCTTCTTCCTTGTGTCAAGTCATGT